ACTCTACCCTACCCTACCCTACCCTACTCTACCCTATTCTACTCTACCCTACCCTACTCTACCTTACTCTACCCTACTCTACTCTACCCTACTCTACCCTACTCTACTCTACTCTACTCTACCTACTCTACCCTACTCTACCCTACTCTACTCTATTCTACTCTACCCTACTCCAATCTACTCTACTCTACTCTACCCTACTCTACTCTACTCTACGCTACTCTACTCCTCTACTCCTCTACTCTACTCTACTCTACTCTACCCTACTCTACTCTATTCTACTCTACCCTACTCCAATCTACTCTACTCTACTCTACTCTACCCTACTCTACTCTACTCTACGCTACTCTACTCCTCTACTCTACTCTACTCTACCCTACTCTACCATACTCTACTCTACTCTACTCTACTCTACTCTATTCTACCCTATCCTACTCTACTCTACCTTACTCTACCCTACTCTAGCCTACTCTACTCTACCCTACCCTACCCTACTCTACTCTACTCTACCCTACTCCACCCTATTCTACTCTACCCTACTCAAATCTACTCTATTCTACTCTACTCTACTCTACTCTACTCTACTCTACCCTACTCTAATCTACTCTACCATACTGAAGTTAAATCAGCCTCGCTCCAGTAGATTTTCTCACCGTCTTATTTCTTCAACCTCACATTCCAGATATCAAGGCCAGAGTTTGAAGCTAACAGGGTCTTTCTCTCACGGTTCACCAGCTGCCACATTGTACAGTGGGGTAGAGCCGGTGGAAACGGAGCTAAAGATCCCACAGAAGTCACAGCGGTGCATTCACAGAACACAGCATCCATCACCGCAAGAGACTCATAAATAACAGGAGCCGTGGACGGAGGGAACAATGGGAGCGGCCCCTGGGAGCCTCCAGCCTCACACACACACAACAAATTAGGATCTCTGTGCTCCTGTCTGCCTCCACAGCGCCCCCTGTGGCTCTCTATTATATCGTCAGAACGTTCTAAATCATCACGCCTTGTCAAAGTGAAAAGCAGCTGCCTCCAAGCCCTGCAGGCTCCGCTCAGACCACAGAGCGAGGATCCTGAGGAGGTCTGTGGTAACCGTGGTTGGCAGCAGCACTCGGACCCATCACTGACACTTAGAACCATAGGCTGTATACAGATGGACAATGCTAACCTGCTAGCTCAATGAAGACCTGCAGCTGTTTTTAGCTCCGTCCATGTTGATATGAGGAAATGCAGATCTCTTCAAGGAACGAAAGTCAAAGAAAGCTGAATATTTTGTCATGGGTTAGGTTTAATTTCCTGTTTTATTTTGTAATTTGATAGCCCTGTGTCTTCCTAAAGCCTGGTTCACAGCACTGGTTTTAAAGTTGTTGGCCGATTTTCCAAACCTGAAAGACCACACACACAGAGATGAACAATCAAGAGTCTAACCACTTTGGTCGCACAGTGTGTGGTGCAAAATCACACAATCCACACACACCACACACAAACCGATTTCACTCCCGAGTATTCCCAGGTCAGACGGAAATCTCGCAAAATCTCTGGAGATCAAGCGTGACTAAACAATCATGGCGGACGAAAAGGACGCAGTGGCGATAGTTTGAGGCTTGTTTTTAACAAAGAAAAAGCGTTATCAAAAGAAAAGGCGATGGTCAAAGAAGTGGACTATAGAACTATTCTGGTGCTGTACTGACTGTTCGGATTCTTTTCCCGGTGTTTCCTCGCCGCCTCGTCACCTCGTCTTCTGATTGGCTACACACCGCAGTCATGGCAACGTGCGCGTCTGTCCCCGACACCACACACAAAGAGAAATCGGGACAAAAAAATCCAACATATTGGTTTCCTCGATTTGAGATCGGAGCAGTCCCGAAGTCCTTCTGAGCGACAAGCGCAGTCCGAACACACCGCACATTGAACATCCATCAGATTATTTTACCAAAATCTGAGCGTCGTCAGCGGTGAATCCGGTCTGAAATTGGCCTATTTATCCTGCCGTGATCCTGCATGACCTGCCCCGCCCTCATGTGTGTCTCGTTAGTCTTGTGTGTTCCTTCACTCCCTGTTCTGTCGTTGTCATTCCGCGTCTGTTTCACTTCTTGTCCTCGTTCCCTGTGTTTTTGCTAAATTTTGATTTTTTTTTTATTTGTTTTGGCCTTATTTATTTTCACCCATTTGACATGTTTGTTCATTAAAACAGTAATAAATCTGGAGTGGGCCATCTTTTTGTTTCACACATGAGACCACACCAGCCCAAGAAGTCACTATTTGACTTCTTGGGCTGGGAGCTGATTGGCCGAGAGAGGCTGATCGGATATAATCATGCTAAAGTTAGAGATTTATTTTAGTTTTGAGTATTTGCTCACTCATACTGTTGTGTGCTCCTCTCTCCTACTGTTCTGTCACTGCTGATGCAACACTGGAATTTCCCCACTGCGCGACTAATCAAGGGGCCTTTTCATCTTAATCTAAAGACGTGACAGAGCAAAAATACATGATGTGAAAACTATTGAAGAAAACTGTTTTAGAACCAGGAACTAGAGACGTGGATTTTATTCTATCGTTCCATTGTTGTGGTTTGAAAGTTACGCACCCCAGCTTTAAAAATCACCAGGAGCCGCCTCTAACACAGGGGTGTCAAACTCATTTAATGAAAAAAAAATAGGAACTGGTCAGGGGCCTTATGGTTGTTTTTTTACATAATGAACATATTTTGACAGTACTTTAATCTGAAAACAAAATGTGTTTATTGTTTAGATTGAACCAAAACTGGACCAAATATAAAGTTAAACACATTGTTTTATATTCAACCATTAAACTTCTAATGATGTGTTGGGTTAAAATGTTATAATTAATTAAATGTGGTTGTTTTCCAGAGAAAGTAGAGGATTATGACCTGCCTCGGTAGGTCATTACCAAAAATGCTAAAAAAAAGTTAATAATAATTGAAAACCATTTTAGGGGCCATTCAAATTGTCTCTAACAGAAAAAGGACGTTGGAGTCTGGTTGAGGCTCGGATCTCACCGTTCTGTGGAGAGTTGAGCAGTGGTTCTTCGCTGGCCCTCTTCCACAGGGGAGTGTTGTGGACAGATGCCCAGCTCCGGGGCCTCACAGCTGGGGAGCGCGTCTGCACGACCCCGGGGGCCGGATCACATTAGCTTCAGCTCAATTACGTCGCACTGCTAACGGCTAACGGCTAACACACGGCTATAACCCAGATACAGATATGAGGCAAGGACCAATGGCGTTTCAGAGATTAACCTTTTCTAATGTCTGTTTTTTCGAGTGAATTGAAAAATGGAAGATGACCCATCCAGCCGCAGGAGACGTCGAAAACACTTTCAAAAGACAAACGTATCAGAAAAATCATCCAGGAACAAAGTGTTTGAGGCATGCGTGGCTCATGGATTTATGATATTACAGTATATGCTGCTTAAACCTGTCTCCATATGGACTAGAGGCCACCCGCGGTACTGCAGCCTAAATCCACACTGTAAGGATATTTCCCCATAAACCTCACTATTTTCCTTTTGAATTCCATCGGTTTTCTAAAAATCTTTAGTGCTACAAACTCTGCTCACTCCCGCTCTATAGATCCGCTCTGATTGGTCACAGGTTCTCTCTCTGGTCTCTCTCTGGTCTTCTTCTCTGGTTTCTCCCTTGTCTCACTCTGGTCTCTCTCTCTGGTCTCTCTCGGGTCTCTCTCCCTTGTTTCTCTCGGGTCTCTCTCCCTTGTCTCTTTTTCTGGTCCCTCTCTCATTGGTCTTTCTCTCTAGTCTCTCTCTCTCTTGTCTCTCTCTGGAGTCTCTTTCTGGTCTCACTCTGGTCTCTGGGACGAGGTGTGGACTAATAATCCGTGTCCAGTGAAACTCTTTGTGGAGGAGGCAGGATCATTAAAATCTGCTCAGACCAGAGAGGCTCCGGGGAGAGTGTGGCTGTCAGCCATTTTATACACACACACACACACACTACACACACAGGACTTCACCCACACACAAACATGACAATACACACACACACACACACGCACGCACACACTACACACACACACATATGACTACACGCATACACATAACTACGCACACACACAAATAAAACAGATCAGGACATTCCTACTCTGCACTGGTAATAAACTGTGTGTAATTTGCATGTGCTCCTCGTGTCTGTGTAGAGTTCCTCCGGGTGCTACAGTTTCCCCTACGACTAAAAATCTGTTCAACGGGTCTGAATATGAAGAGGGAGTGGAGGATGGTTATGGTCGGAGACTTACTGCACCAGAGAGAGACCAGAGAGAGACTAGAGAGAGACAAGAGTTAAAGCAGAGAGAGACCAGAGAGAGACCAGAGAGAGACCAGAGAGAGACCAGAGTGAGGCCCCGTTTAGACGGAGACGCTGCCAAAAAATTAGCAAAAACGACCAGGCTCCTTATTTGAAGTGCAAAGTGTCTACGCGACAACGGAAAATAATGTAATTCTAGCCGCTGGCCAGAAGGGGAGAGACCAGAGAGAGACCAGAGTGAGAGGACAGTGAAGAGAGACCAGAGAGAGACCAGAGTGAGAGGACAGTGAAGAGAGACAAGAGAGAGACCAGAGTGAGAGGACAGTGAAGAGAGACCAGAGAGAGACAAGAGAGAGACCAGAGGGAGACAAGAGAGAAACCTGAGGGAGAGACCAGAAAAAGCACTTTAAGACAACATTTCTTGTGTATTACTCCAGAAATTACAAAGAAAGCTCTAAAGTAAGACTATAATCTGACTTTTGACACTCACCGTAGTTACCATAGTTACCAGGAGAGATGTTGCAGCTGCTCTACTCCACAACATGAAACTATAGGCTCTTTGGGACGTGTGATGTCACATGAACACGACCTACAACGACAGCATTCGATGATAATTAGCAAAGTATTGTGCAGGTGGAGTTTTCCCTGAGCCCCACGGAGAGAGACGGAAGACCTTTTGTTTCTCCCATTGAAGTTATTTACACAGTCATCGGTTCAGGATCTAATTATGAATAAAGACATGTTTATATTCCTGGAGAGCAATCACAGAGCAGTCACAGAGCAGTCACAGAGCAGTCGCAGAGCAGTCGCAGAGCAGTCGCAGAGCAGTCGCAGAGCAGTCGCAGAGCAGAGCAGTCACAGAGAAATCACAGAGCAGTCGCAGAGCAGTCGCAGAGCAATCGCAGAGCAGTCGCAGAGCAGCCGCAGAGCAGTCGCAGAGCAGTCGCAGAGCAGTCACAGAGCAGTCACAGAGCAGTCACAGAGTAGTCACAGAGTAGTCGCAGAGCAGTCACAGAGCAGTCACAGAGTAGTCACAGAGCAGTCACAGAGTAGTCGCAGAGCAGTCGCAGTGCTGTCACAGAGCAGTCGCAGAGCAGTCACAGAGCAGTCGCAGAGCACTCACAGAGCAGTCACAGAGCAGTCACAGAGTAGTCGCAGAGCAGTCACAGAGCAGTCACAGAGCAGTCACAGAGCAGTCACAGAGCAGTCACAGAGCAGTCACAGAGTAGTCACAGAGCAGTCGCAGAGCAGTCGCAGAGCAGTCGCAGAGCAGTCGCAGAGCAGTCACAGAGCAGTCGCAGACCGGTCACAGAGCAGTCACAGAGCAGTCTAGAGCCTCGTTAGCGGAGCAGAGAGCACACTTCCTTCGGGGCTGAAGTCTTCTCTTTGACAGGTTCAGCGGTGACGGTGATCCACAGACCCACAGACCTGGTCCGTGAGGCTGGAGGGGGGGATACTAATGAGAGAGAGAGAGACCAGAGAGAGAGACCAGAGAGAGACCAGAGAGAGAGACCAAAGGGAGAAACTAGAGAGAGGCGAGAGAGAGACCAGAGGGAGAGACTGCGAGAGATATGAGAGAGAGGCTAGCAAGATAAAGTTTAGATGGACCAGAGAAAGACCAGGGAGAGACCAGAGAGAGAGACCAGAGGGAGAAGCTAGAGAGAGGCGAGAGAGAGACTAGAGAGAAACCAAAGTGAGACCACAGACCTGGTCCGTGAGGCTGCAGGGGAGGATACTAATGAGAGAGAGAGATACAGAGAGAGACCATGAGAGAAACCAGAGAAAGAGGCCAGAGGGAGAAACTAGAGAGAAACCAGAGAGAGAGACTAGAAAGGGAAACTAGAGAGAGACCAGGAAGAGGCCAGCGGGATACCAGAGTTAGTTCGGAGCTAAAAGCAGCCGCGGGTCTGTGATCAGGAACAATGGGGGAGAATGGGCCCCTGTTAAAGGCCCTCAGGTGACCGTGAAAGATTGATGTGACGTTCAGGCCGAGTGAATGATTCAGGAGCACAACTCACGTTCGGAACATTTGAACTTTGCGAGCGACTAATGCGACGGAATCTGCTGAGGTCGGCCATGTTTGTGTTTGTATTATTCATCCACAAGAAAAACACTCTGGAAACATACACATTTCACACTGGGATTTTACAGAGAAGGACCAGAGAAAGACCAGAGAGAGACCAGAGAGAGACCAGAGAAGGACCAGAGAGAGACCAGAGAGAGACCAGAGAAAGACCAGAGAGAGATCAGAGAGACCAGGGAGTGACCAGAGAGATAAGAGAGAGATTAGAGAGAGACCAGAGAAGGACCAGAGAGAGACTAGAGAGATAAGAGAGACCAGAGAGACAAGAGAGAGACCAGAGAGAGACCACAGAAGGACCAGAGAGAGACCAGAGAGATAAGAGAGACCAGAGAAAGACCAGAGAGAGATCAGAGAGGCCAGGGAGTGACCAGAGAGATAAGAGAGACCAGAGAGAGACCAGAGAAGGACCAGAGAGAGACCAGAGAGATAAGAGAGACCAGAGAGACTAGAGAGAGACCAGAGAAGGACCAGAGAGAGACCAGAGAGAGACCAGAGAGAGACCAGAGAAGGACCAGAGAGCCAAGAGAGAGACCAGAGAGAGATCAGAGAAGGGCCAGAGAGAGACCAGAGAAGGACCGTGCAGGGAAAGACCAGAGAGAGACCTAAGAAGGACCAGAGAGAAACTAGAGAAGGACCAGAGAGACCAGAGGAAGACCAGAGAGAGACCAGCGAGAGATCAGAGAAAGGTTCAGAGAGAGACCAGACCAAAGAGCGACCAGAGAGAGTCCAGAGAGAGAGACCAGAGAGAGACCAGAGAGAGAGACCAAAGAGAGGCCAGAGAGAGACCAGAGAGAGGAAGAAAGAGAGGAACCAGAAAGACAATAGAGAGAGAGAGAGAGACAGTGCAGGGAGAGACAAGAGAGAGACCAGAGAGGAACCAGGGAGACAGATAAGAGAGAGACCAGAGAGAGACCAGAGAGGAACCAGGGAGACAGATTAGAGAGAGACCAGAAAAAAACAGAGAGATAGACTAGAAGGAGAGAGCAAAGAGAGACCACAAAAACACCAGAGAGAGAAGTTGGAGAGATGAGAGCGAGAGCAGAGACAGGAGAGAAGTTTAATGTTACAGAGTTTTGCTGAAGCTGATGTAGCATGAGAGAATAAATCCACTGTTGTTACTGTGATTTTGGGACATGGAGCTGAAAGACAGACGACTGAGGACAGAGCGTTAAAAGTGTATGTGAAAAGGCACGTACTTCTGTGACTCAGAGAGGGATTACTGTGATAGAGATCAGAACAGTTCTCGTGTTTGTGACTCACCGACGTTTCTGTCTCCGAGAGAAAGACTCAAACAGACGCTGAGTGACTCCGAGATTTACTCTGCTAAACCTCTGTGGGGACTGCATGCAACATGAGATGGACCGGAGAGAGACCAGGAATAAACCAGAGAGAGATACCAGTAAGAGAGACAACTAGAGTCTATTTCTTGTCTCTCACATCTCTGGTCCCTCTTTCTGGTTTCTCCCTCTTGTCTCTCTCTGTTCCCTCTATGGTCTCTCTCTAGTCTCTCTCTGGTCTCTCTCTTGTCTCACTCTGGTCTCTCTCTGTTCTCTCTCTGGCCTCTCTCTGGTCTCTCTCTCTGGTCTCTCTCTCTGGTCTCTCTCTCTGGTCTCTCTCTGGTCTCTCTCTCTGGTCTCTCTCTCTCTGGTCTCTCTCTGTTCTCTCTCTGGCCTCTCTCTGGTCTCTCTCTCTGGTCTCTCTCTGGTCTCTCTCTGGTCTCTCTCTCTGGTCTCTCTCTCTGGTCTCTCTCTCTCTGGTCTCTCTCTCTGGTCTCTCTCTGGCCTCTCCCTGGTCTCTCTCTGGCCTCTCTCTGGTCTCTTTCTCTGGTCTCTCTCTCTGGTCTCTCTCTCTGGTCTCTCTCTGGCCTCTCTCTGGTCTCTCTCTGGCCTCTCTCTGGTCTCTCTCTCTGGTCTCTCTCTGGCCTCTATCTGGTCTCTCTCTCTGGTCTCTCTCTCTGGTCTCTCTCTCTCTGGTCTCTCTCTCTGGTCTCTCTCTGGTCTCTCTGTGGATATTTCCTACATTTTTTTTATTTTGCTATTAACATATGTACATATAATGACTATTTTTATATTATGAGTTTCAAAGTCTCTTCCAAACCTGTGTCTTTCCCGCAGACTTGTCCTGACACCAGCTGAAATACTGAGAAACTAGTCCACAACAGCAACACAACCTCTCGCTGAACAACAAAAGACCAAGAGGCAAAAATATGATGATTTTGCAGAATATTTCCCCTTTAAACCTGTTCTGTTTACTTCTCTCCTCGTGCTTTTTCATGACGCAACAAATCAGTGACAATTTAACAGGTAAAAGCTGCGTGTGTGTGTGTGTGTGTGTGTGTGTGTGTGTGTGTGTGTGTGTGTGTGTGTGTGTGTGTGTGTGTGTGTGTGTGTGTGTGTGTGTGTGTGTGTGTGTGTGTGTGTGTGTGTGTGTGTGTGCACCTTCACCCGTCTCCCGCGGCGCTCATTATGGCCCGGCTGTCGAATCGCCGGCAGTTACGGTGTGCTGATGCAGGCTTTCACACACACACATACACACATACACCCACACACACACTAGACACACACACACGTAGACAGACACACTCACATACCTCCACACTCTAACACACTGATACACACACGTACACACTAATACACACTCATACACACACACACGCACAGACACACACTAGAAACACACGCACACACTCACACACGCACACACACACTTTTACACACCCACACACACCTACACACACACACACAAACACACACACACGCGCTGACGGCTTCAGTGCTTGTAATTGGAAGGTTCCGGGGCGCGCGGGTGACAGCCGTAAAACACATCAAACAAACAGGTTAGGGGGAGGAGGGGGAGGTCTGGGGGAGGAGACGGATCTGAAGCACAGGTGAGCCTTTGTGAGTTGCCATAGAAACAACCCGCATCAGCAATATTTGACGTTTTTGCTGCGGAGGCGTTTGTAGGGACTCAAGACCACAGTGACGCTGATCCACACCACACACCCTGGAACCTGAGACCAGAGACCAAGTCCAGAGACCGAGTCCAGAGACCGAGTCAAGAGACTGAGTCCAGAGACCGACTCCAGGAGCGTTTAAAGGGAAATGCTCCCATCAGTATCGAGTGTATTATCGAGTGTAGCCTGGCCTTAGTCTGGGTCTGATCCTAGCGGCTGCAGTTTCCTCGGTTGAATCCCCTCCGACCAATCATAGAGCGGAGGAGGCGGGTGTTGTAAGGTGTCAGTGACGTTGAGAGTTTGCGCCAAATTTGCTGGTTGTAGATTGGCAAAGAATGCGATAGTAAAGTGTTCAAAAGTAGGGATGCACCGATCCGATACTGGATCGGATATCTGCGTAGAGAGAGGCGCCGTGCTGCCGATCCATTTTCTTTTTTCTTTTTTTTTAAAATTATATATATTTTTTAATACATACCGCACAATGTCTTAAAATACATTGTGCATGATGTACATATACGTATAAAATGAATGAATTAAAAGTAATTTATCAGATCTGACATACACGTCACTTCCTCGTGGCGCTCTACAACAACAACAACACAGCGTGGAGTGCAGGAAAGAACCAGCGTTGTTCACGCGGCGGTAAACTAGCGAAATACAACACGACTAAGCACCACGAGAAACAGAATGGGGAGTTTTTGCATCGAAAGGAGAATACGTGAAAACAACGAGACACAGATGACACTGACGCAGCGTCACAAAAAGCTTTTCAGCAACAACCCCAAAGTGTTGGAGTTCATCATGGGCTCGCAGCCCCATAGACCATTTGGAACCCAGGTCCATGCCGTCGCCAAATACATATCTGAAATCCAGTTAAAGCTACGGTACTATTATTTATTTACATTTTCATGCAGCGTGTTTTGTTTGTTGTAAGTGTTTATTTATTCAAACACAGTTAATATAAGTACATTTATATTCAATAAATGTATACGGTATAATACAGTGTTGAATGATTAATGTGAACATTGAGCAGTTATAGTTGCAGTATTGCACATTTATGTTGAATCCATTTTTATCTGGAAAGTTTAGCGCTTTAGTTCATCCACTGCTTTTGCAGTTACTTGAACAAAAAGTTCAATTATTAAATACATTTTAGCATGATCATTTCCGGTATCGGTCAATATCGGTATCGGCAGGTACCCATAGCTCTGGTATCGGTATCGGTAGTAAAAAAGCTGGATCGGTGCTCTATTCAAAAGATGTTCTACTACAGTTATCTGGACAGAAGAACATGACAGACAGGTATTAGTTTTTTTACTTGCATGTAACAAGAAGGAGATGTCTTTCAGCTCCGTTAGTGGCAAAGGAGATGGCTAAGCTAGGCTAAATGCTAAAGCTAGGCTAAATGCTAAACACTAGCGATCACACGGGCGCATTACGGCACTGTAAACTCAGATCCAATGGTTTCAATCTGCAAAAGCAGATACAGTAACCCATCCCACCTGAGTCAATGGAGCAAATCCAGACCTTAGTATGAAAAGAAATTTGTACAATGGTATGATAAGACCAGAACAACACAGGACGTTTCTTCTCCATGGACTTGTATCTCGAATCTCGCACTTCTCACTCTCATGTTTGTGTCGCGTAGACCGAACCATCGCCACAAGCTGATGTCGCTCTGAGTCACCAATGTCGTCCTCGTTATTTCACACATGAAATCTGATCAAATTACCACAAATTTGGGGCGTGAAATTTTGCTCAAAGCTAAAACTCTTATTTGAATTTAAAGCTGAGGTTCATGACTCTCAGACCACAACAACAGAACTCGGGCTCTAAAACAGTTGGCGCCAATCACTTGTTTTCACATGTGTTTTTAGAGAGACCAGAGAGAGACCAGAGAGAGACCCGAGAGAGAGACCAGAGAGAGAGACCAGAGAGAGACCAGAGAGAGAGACCAGAGAGACCAGAGACACGAGAGAGACCCGAGAGAGAGACCAGAGAGAGACCCGAAAGAGACCCGAGAGAGACCAGAGAGCAACCTGAGAGAGAGGACAGAGAGACCAGAGACACGAGAGAGAGACCCGAGAGAGAGTCTAGAGAGAGACCGGAGAGAGACCAAAGAGAGAACTAAGACGAGAGACCAGGGACACGAGAGAAAGACCAGAAAGAGACCAAAGAGAGAGACCAGAAAGAGACCAAAGAGAGAGACCAGGGAGAGACCAAAGAGAGAGACCAAAGAGAGATACCTGAGAGAGAGACCAGAGACACGAGAGAAAGACCATAGAGAGACCAGAGGGAGAGAGTCTAGAGAAAGACCAGAGAGAGACCGGGCAGAGACTAGAGAGGTTCCATGACTAGTTTTCACATGTACGTATTTTTGGCAGCCATTTCGGACAGAAAAGTGAAACCCCTCGGCCCAAAGAGTCCAATAGTGACTCCTGGGGCTCTCTCTCACACACAGACATAACGTGTTGTACGGTGTTCCTGGTTTTCCGCTCGTCTCCAGGATTATTCTGATTTCTGTTTTTTTCGCCCGGAGCTGTGTCCGATCTGCAGACATCCTCGCGGAGCCGAACAGACGTCTTCTGCTTCTGTGGCTCCAGGCAACAGAGAACACGGCAACAACACGGCAACAACACGGCAACAACACGGCAACAACACGGGACATCCGAGGGAGCATCGAAGCAACGCTCATCCGACGCTACAGTGCGGACGGAGCAGGAGATGTGTTTTAAAGAAGCAAAATTATGCGTTATTATTGGCCATTGAATATTGTCATTTTGTGTTTTTCAAATGCAGGAGGGTCCACGGACAGTGTGAGGATCACACTGTCCGTGGCCAAAAGTGGTACTGCAATCTCTCTCACTCTTCTTGACTCCGGTTGCCAGATATGCAGACGAATCCAGCTGGGACCATAATCGCTGAGTAGACAAGAGTTTTTTCAACAACAAATCTATAACCAACACCTATTTCACAAAGATAGAAATCCTGGTTTTATTCCTTGTTTTGTTGTTAATGATTTGAGAATCTTTCTGCGGAATTTTTCCTCACATGGTACTGTGAGATTTCATAACACTTTGAAGCAACTTTTGTTAAAGTTACCCCCCGACTCCACCGGGCGCGTCTCCGTTGACGCGCGTTGGCTGCTGTCCGTCAGCCGTCCGTAAAACGGACCAGTGGTCAAACCGGCTGCAGCAGCATGCAACTCTGGCTGTGCGTTTATCAGCCTGCTTTATTTTTGTAGGAGACATGTTTGGGCATTGTGTGAATGAATGAATGTTTGGCTGATGGAGGAGTTATGTATATTGTCGGCGTGCATGTGTGCGTGAGCGTGTGCGTGAGAGCGCCCGTGTGTGTGTGTGTGTGTGTGTGGTGGGAGGCGTGTGCGTGCATGTGTGTTTGGGTCTGTGACTGCAGCGTTTATTATGATCCAGCCTCTTCGTTTGTTTTCTACTTATTTAGCGCATGATACACTTTTATCGGAGCCAACTCGCCTCTCTGCGGCTTTAGGCAACAGGCAGCCGCTATAGTTTTAAATAGAAGAAGCGGTGTGTGATGTGCATGAGCTGTGGCTATGATCAGTGCAAAGCACAGCATATTGAAGCATTGAGGACGTCGCGATGGATGAGGCAAAACTTATTGAAAGCAATTGGAAAAAGGGGAGAGAGAAAAGAACTCCAACATATCCAGTGTTGTGAGATCTGTCTCTCATAAGTGCAGCTCTGTGTGTGTGTGTGTGTCTGTCTGTCTGTCTGTCTGTCTGTCTGTCTGTCTGTCTGTCTGTCTGTCTGTCTGTCTGTCTGTCTGGGAGCGCGCGGCGGTGAGGAGAGAGCGCCTCGGAGGTAGACGGGACAGAAGAGCGAGGTGTATGTAAAGATTAACATTACGCGAAAAATAAATGGTAGATTTACGATCAGGAAACAATTATTTAAATTAATACATGAAAAACATTACACACGTTTGTTAATAATCATTGTCATTAACAAATACTTATAACCAAGGACTACAGCATATATCAATACATGTTTAACAATGTTGTAAATATATTATTCCATTGCATTTTCAATGGAAAACGGACCCGACACGCGTCGACGGACGGAACAAATAGGATTGTTTCTATTTCGTCCGTCCACGTCTTTTGCACCCTCCGTTGACGGAATAGGTCCGACGTGCGTTGGACGGACGCATGCGGAGGCAGTGGAGCCACTTCCATTCACTCTCATGGAGATAACGGAGACGGAGATGAAACGGACATGTTTGGACGGATCCGTCGTCCGTTTTACGCGCCCGGTGGAGTCGGGGCCCTAAACTCATCATTCTATCAATGTGCAGAAGCCAGTACTTTTCCCTTGTTTTGTCTATCTGAAGGCCAAGCTACAAGCACACCGTGGCAGCTGCTGATTGGAGGTCTCCATGCCTCCGCTCTGTATAATACACTTGCATTCTGTTGTATCTGTTGATCGTGCTGTCTCTACCATTGACAATAAAACATGTCTTCTGTCTGAATGAAAGACGCGATCCCAGACTTTGCCATCTTCTTCAGTACTTTACCAGTGAAACAGACAGGACGCAGGGAGATCTGGCAACCCGTATCACAGACTTTCTGTTTGGTGAAACAGTGGAGGGCGGGACATTGAAATGAAAACAATAACAAGATTTAGGGGCTGTAAAAGCAATTTAGAAATAAAACTGCTATCAGTTAAAGAAATATTGGTTTATTAAAGTTGAAGAAGATGACATAGTCTGGGATAGCGTCTTAAATTCAGACAGAAGACATGTTTTATTGTCAATGGTAGAGACAGCACGAACAAAGCACACAAACACAGATACAACAGAATGCAAGTGTATTATACAGAGCGGAGGCATGGAGACCTCCAATCAGCAGCTGCCACGGTGCCATGTAGCTTGGCCTTCAGATAGACAAAACAAGGGAAAAGTACTGGCTTCTGCACATTGATAGAATGATGAGTTTAACTTTAACAAAAGTTGCTTCAAAGTGTTATGAAATCTCACATTCCCCCCTCTGGTCATACATTCACGTGTAACCATCAGGATCGATAAACAGCAACATAACATCATAACTCAATACTTCAAAAACTCATAAACTCGGTACTTCAAAAAACTCAGAACTCGGAATACTTCAAAAACTCAGAAAACTCATAAAACATGTTCAGATCTTTCATAAAACTTGTCAGGCCCAAAGTTCCTGTGGGAGCCAGATATCCCATATCCATCAAACACGACACTCGAACTGTTAGTTGGTGATCCAGAAATAAAAACAGTCAAAGTGCTTGCAACTCAAGTAAACAAAGAAAGTGACATTCTGAGCCGTCTCACAAGATTCTCGAGCTGGTCAATGCTTCTCAAAGTGATTGCTAGGTTAAAGCGACTCAAATCAAACAAAAATCAGCAACCCAACTTTGTAACTGTAGAGGAAAGAAAGGAAGCTGCTGGCCTCATTGTCGGCCTTGTGCAGCAAAAGGCTTTTCCCCAAGAGATTGAAAGGCTGAAGGTGGGAGAAAACCTTCCCAGTACAAGTCCCCTCTTCAGATTAGACCCTATATCAGACAATGGACTTCTTCGTGTTGGAGGCAGATTAAAGAAATCCACACTGAGTCAAGGACTGAAACATCCCATCATTCTTCCAAAAGGCCATCACATAACAAAGTTGATAATGTCACACTTTCACTCTGAGATTTGTCACCAGGGCAGAAGCCAAACATTAATGGAGCTGAGAGCCAATGGATTTTGGGTGATTGGTGGAAGTAAGGAGGTCGCAAAGCACATAAACAAATGCGTGCAGTGTCGCAAGTTAAGACGCCCAACAGAAGAACAACGAATGTCCGAACTACCAAAGGAACGAGTTGAGATCTCAGAACCATTTATGTACAGCGGTATGGACTGCTTCGGCCCGTTTGTCACAAAGCAAGGCCGCAAAGAGCACAAAAGGTATGGACTGCTGTTCACTTGCCTCTCATCCCGCGCAGTTCACATAGAAATGGTTGAAGATCTATCCACAGACACATTCATTAACGCATTGAGATGTTTTATCAGTCTAAGAGGAGCTGTTTGCAGGTTGTACTGTGACCAAGGCACAAACTTTGTGGGGGCAAAAAATGAACTCAAAGAGACACTAAAGCAATGTGACATTAATGCCCTAGAAGCGTTTTTGGCTGAAAAACAATGTGAGTTTGTGTTTAATGCTCCATCTGCTAGTCACGCAGGAGGCGTTTGGGAGCGCCAGATCCGAACAATCCGAAATGTTCTCAATGCTTCCATCTCTCAGTGCCCAGGAAGATTGGATGATTCTTCTCTTAGGACACTTTTCTATGAGGCAATGTCAATAATAAATGGACGACCACTGAGTGTTGATGCAATAAATGACCCAAAGTCACCTGAACCACTCACTCCAAACCACCTCATACTAATGAAATCCAAAGTTGCTTTACCTCCACCAGGGAAGTTCATAAAGGAGGACTTGTATGCAAGAAAACGGTGGCGTAGAGTGCAATATCTCACTGAGCAGTTCTGGAGTAGGTGGAAAAAGGAATACCTTCTGAACATCACCACAAGACAAAAATGGCATGTACCACGTCGTAACCTTCAAGTCAATGACATTGTTATTATCAAAGAGGAAATGCTTCAAAGGAATCAGTGGCAACTCGGACGAGTTGTAGAAGCTCTCAAAGAAGATGATGGACTAGTGCGCAGAGTGAAGATCCAAACAGGCATTAGGGATCTGTCTAAGAAACAAGTCACACCACAGAAGCCTCACATTATTGAACGGCCTGTGCAAAAGTTAGTAGTTCTTGTTGAAAGTAATTAAGAGTAAGAAATGTATTGTTTGGTTCCAAGCTTACGCTAAATGTAATGCTAAAAGAGTTTTGTTTTTGTTTTTTCTGTCAAGCATTGGTAAATAATTTAAATCACATATATTATAAAGTTAATATACATGATTTGGTGGGAGTGTAATTGCCAAAGCGTCCACTAGATGGCACTCTTGCAAACTGAATACAGCCGCGAGTAGCGAAGGAGAAGTTTTTGTTTTCAGTTCCAAATGCACAATGGCCACAGCCACGCAGCTCTGTGGCTCAAAGAGAAAATGTTTCTAACAACTTGCAGCCCTCGATAAGCGGAGCGAGGTAAATGTTTTATGTGTTTGTAGGTGTTAGGGAGATATCATTTAGTTTATGTATTTTGTACCTACATGCTACTTATTTGATATGTACTGTGTTTCTCTGTACAGTTTTCACGGTGAACATGAATATGGTGTTATGTCCATAAAAAATAATCACACCCGTCGAAACTTTGTCCTGCTTGTAACCTTGGGGGCCAGCAATAGTGAAAACTCGACCGAACCAGTGGACCTGAGCGACATCAATGAGAGACACGTCGCCAGTCAAGCTAAAGCCTGCTAATGCTACAACTCAGCTACAACTCACCGGCCGCCATTTTGAGTCCATAACCAGTCACAAGAGTAAAGCCACAAAGGCAGTGATAAAGTGAAGGTCAACATGTCAAATCCTGCTAATGAAAATAATGACTCAGAACAGACAAGATCCAGTAGACGTGAGCGTAGCTTTACAGAAAAAGGCAAAGAAATGCACGAACAGGAAATAAAGAAAAACGAAAAAGTGTTTAATAAAGTTTATGAAACTTGGAAAGAACAAGCAAAAGAAATACGAAAGCAGCTAAAAGGTTTTCTGTTCTCCTGAGGAACTTAACGATGCCAGCC